ATAGCCAGAACCTGGAAGCAACCTAGATCCCCTCAAATGAAGAATGGATAGAAAAATATGGTACATTTATACAATGGAGTACTACTCAGCAGAAAAAAGCAATGGAACTGAAACATTCACAAGCAAATGGATGGAACTAGAAGAAACCATCCTGAGTGAGGTAACCCAGTCACAAAAAGACAAACATGGTATGTACTCACTCATATATGAATTTTAGAGATAGAGCAAAGGATTACCAGCCTACGATCCTCTTCACCAAAGAAACTAGGAAACATGAAGGTCTCTAAGGGAAAAATTCCTGGTCCTCAGGAATGGGAAGGGGAAGGAACTCCTGAGCTAATTGGGAGCATGAGGGTAGGGGAGAGGGTGCTGCCACAATAAGAGCAAGAGAAGAGGAGTAGAGGAGAGGAAATGGAGGAGCAGAAATATTGAGTGTGGGGAAGAATAGAGAAGATAGAGCAGGATGAGAGATACCATATTAGAGGGAGCCATTATAGGTCCGAGGAGAAATCTGACACTAGGGAGATTTCCAGAGGCCTACAAGGATGACATGAACTGACAATCCAGGCAATGGTGGAGAGGATAACCTAAATGCCCTTCCCCTAAAATGAGATTGATGACTACTTTTTATGCCATCCTAGAGCCCTAATCCAGTGGCTGATGGAAGCAGAGGCAGACATCCACAGATATACACTGATCTGAACTCTGAAACTTAGTTTCAGGTACGGAGGAATGAAGATCAAAGGGGTTGGTACCAGGCTCGTGAAACCCACAGAAACAGCTGGCCTGAACAAGGGGGAGCACATGGACCCCAGACTGCTATCTGGGAGGCCTGTACAGGACTGATACAGACCCTTGAACATGGATGTCAATTAGGAGGCACTCTAGGGGACCCCTGGTAGTGGATTGGTATTTTTCCCTGGTGCAAGATGGGATGTTGAGAGCCCATCCCACCTGAAGGGATGCACTCTTGGCCTGGACACAAGCAGAAGGGCCTAGGCCCTACTCAGGATGATATGGTGGACTTTGGGGATTCCCTGTTGAGGACCCTACCCTTCCTGGGGAGAGGAGGGTGGATGGGGTGGGGGGTAAGGGAAGGAGAGAGAGAAGGGATTGATATGTGAAACAAGCTTGTTCATAATTTGAAATAATAAAAAAATAATGTATGGAACTATCAAAGAATTAAAAATATTAAAACAAAAAACAAAACAAAAAAGAAAAAAAAGAAATGGCAGGCAAGGATAACACTTTGGAAGCCCATTTCACAGAGGGATACTCCCTCAGCCTAGACACACTGGGTAGGATCTGGGCCCTATCCCAAAGGATATGACAGAATCTGAAGATCCCCCATGAAAGACCTCACTCTCCCTGAGGAGATATGGGATGGTATGGGATAAGTAGGATGTTAGTGGGGGGCAGGGGAGGAGAATAGGGTGAGGGAACTGGGTATGACATATGAAACAATCTTGTTTCTAATTTAAATTCAAAAATGGAGGAAGATATATTTAGTTACTTTTATTTAGAAACTATATAAGAGTCCTGGAAAAGTTTTACAATGTTACATTGTATCCTCCACATCAAACACAATTTAGAAACATGATTGACACTCCAAAGCTGTTGTAAATAAGGTATGGGAGGAATTAGGTAATGAATGAGTGAAGGGTAATAATCATTATCAACAAGCAGTGCAAAGTGAAAACAACCAAAACATTAAAAAAAATTATCTCAAAAAAAAATGACAAGCAGCAAAATAAAAGATACTAAAAGAAAGACAGAGACACAGATAGAGTAGGAGGGCTGAACTGCCCATGTTTATTGTGCATAGTCTTTTTATGCTTCCATCAAAAGAGGGGGAGAAAGCAACACACTTCTTTACCAAGATCCAGAAAATGAGGAAGCATAATTACCTTCTCAATACTGAAAACATCAAGTAGATATCTCCTGGATTAAGTATTCTATTGTTTAGACAGGATGTCCAGTGAAAGAACAAAGTAACTATCTCCCGAGTGAAGTATTCTATTGTTCAGGCAGGAAATGCAGTGATGACATCCTATGCCAAGCATCCGGTTGCATTCACCTTAGATCAGACTGTTGGGATCCAGCCCCCATGGGGTCTCTGTGAATCATTTTCCAGTATAGCCACAGGTACCTCCAGTTTTCCTGGCCTCCCCCCACTAGCATCAACATCCTGTTGTGAATCCTTACTGTTGGGTACAGACCTGACCTTTAGGCCTGTGCTGACCTTTTGTTACTTCCTGTTTTGAAACATTGTGCCTTGCCCCCATCCCCTTCCTGCTTCGTTGGCCTTGGGCAGGGGTTGTGATTTCCTTGCTTACGATAGGGCATGGGAATGTTCTGCTAGCAGGTGGTACTTTTCCATTTCCTCTTGTTATGGTTGTATATAAACTGCTGGCTGCAATAAACCAATGGCATTCACTTCTTAATCTGCAGACTCTCACCTGGTCTAGTTCTTCTGTCACTGGTGCTGGCGCTGGTGACACCAGACATCCTGTTGTTTCACCTTAGAAGAAAAGGGGCAGGCAAAAACTCTCTGACCTTAAGTCAAGATGAAGCAGAACCGTTTCAATGGACCCTGTCAGTTGGTTAGAGAAAGATGTCCTTCTTCCCTCACTCCTCAACACCTGCAGCAGGTGGGGGACCTGACCCAGCCCCTCACCAGCTGCATCATTCTGGAGAATGGACTTTCCCCCTGACCTGGGAAGCACAGTAGAGTTGACCCTGGCCAACACAGTACAGGTGGCCCTGAAGGTGTAGGTTTGGGAGAACAAAAGCTGAAAATATGAATGTAGTAACATGTGCTCGCCATGACCTGGCCTTGGTCACTAAGAGGTCAGATGCCTGCCTCGTGGCAAGGAACCAATCAGAAGTTAGCTGGTGGTGCTATGCTTTATGGCTCTGGGTATGCTTTAGGGATAAGTGCACAGCAATGAAGCATAGAGCATAGCAACCCCCCTGGGAGGGCCTATGGGCCATAACAACCAATTGGCCAATCAACACAGGGCAAACCCTCCAAGCCTGGACACACACCAATCCTGAGCCTGTATGTTCCCCTTATGCTGCCCTACAAGATCTCTCTGCAGCGGATTTGAACTGTCTTTGCTAGCCATCCACCATGGCAGGTGGATGAAAGACCCCAGCTAACATGGAGTTAGCTTGTTAAACAACAATAAAGCCTCATGCTGTTTGCAAAATTTTTCGAATCCGCCTGGTGATTGGGGTGGCCTTGGTCCTGGGCTAAGACCCTGGAGGCCTGAGTTTTCTGGGGGTCTAACAAGGAGAATTGATCCTGCCCCTTGCTCACCACCGCAAGGGATGAACTAGCCAGCAAAAGGAAGGAGAGCTCATCCTGGTAGTTAAGACAGGGGAGAACTGGGAGGCTGAAGAACCCTGCAACTACCCAGGTCCAGAACCAGGGTTATATCACCCCATCTGGGTGATCTGCTGGAGAAGGAGATGAGGGTGGGGGTGAGGTCGGGGCTGGGGACCCAGGGCTGCAGGATCTCTAGGACACAGAGCAGCAACAGGGTGTCCAGGGAGATTCCAGTGAAGGCCCAGCATCAAGGTACAGCAGAGAAGAGGGTCTTTGAACTGTAAGACCCTCCGAAAGGTCAGGGCTCCGGTGTCCCAGCCCAGGACTTCAGTCACCCCAATCACCAGACGGATTCGAAAGCTTGATGCAAACTGCACGAGGCTTTATTGTTGTTTAATGAGCTAACCCCATATTAGCTCAGGTCTTTCATCCACCCACCATGGCGGATGGCTAGAAAAGAACTGTCTGCATAGAGATCTTATAGGGCAGCGTAAGGGTAGTGTCTAGGGGTACGCACAGGCTCAGGATTGGTGTGGCTCCAGGCTTGGAGGGCTTGCCCTGTGTTGATTGGTCAACTGGTTGTATGGCCCATAGGCCCTCCCAGGGTGGTTGCTATGCTCTGTGCTTCATTGCTGTGTTCTGTTCTGACAAGCACACCCAGAGCCGTAAAGCATAGCACCACCGGCTAACTTCTGATTGGTTCCTTGCCACGAGGCAGGCATCTAACCTCTTAGTGACTAAGGCAAGGTCAGACAAGCACATGTTCAGCTGTTATGGCTGCCAAAAGTGGCAGGCATATGACCTTAGTGACTAAGACAAGGTCAGCCAAGCATGTGTTCAGTTGTTATGGCTGCCTTCAGAACCAGACCAATGATTCTTTGTGATGAATGCCTGCATGTAAAAATTTATGGATAAAAGGGTTTACTGGGTGACTCACTGCAGCTTCTATAATGAAAATTTCCCTTTCTCCCTTTCCCCCCTTTTTTCTTTTAAATTTTATTTTGTTTTATTCTGTGAGGATGGCAGATGAGTGAGATTGGGAAGCATGATTTGAAAGACACAAAGAATAAACAAAATGTTAAAAATAAAAATAAATAAAAAAGCCTCATACACTCATATATAGTTTTGCTTCATTAAAGTATTGTATAAACAAACCATCAAGGTGTTTGAAACAAGCAAACATTACATGGCCATTGGTGATTTAATTTAATAGTCATTTTTTGTAAAGTATAAAAATGTAAACTTCATTTATATGTTTCTTATAAATGATGCTATAAAATAAGCCCATATATATATATATATATATATATATAATTTATATCCCTAATTAGTAGAATGATCCTTTCAATTTCATTTTTAAAATATTCCTAGAGAAACTAAATAACTACATAAAGATATTGTGAAGTTCCTAATTGTTTTGTTGGACCTGCCACACTTTGTATGATAGAAAAGTAATACTATTTGTGTAATAGAAGGCAAAAAACTCCCCTCCATAATCTTGTTAATATTTTTAAATTTATAAAATTGTATAGCTTTATCAAATGATCTTAATATTTCCTTATACAGTTGACATATTTCCAGTATGAAATTTATTTTTACCTATTGCATTTAGGGGCAGTTTTAAGATAGGATCTCCTTATGTAGTCCAGGCTGACCTTGAACTTATGGTAACTGTCATCCTTCCCAATCTTAGGATTAGAGGCATTTGTCAACACAGTCAGAGAATTTGTAAAATTTGGGTCACATGTGCCTGGAAATGAGCTAGTGATTATGACCCCTGGAAGTTTTGGTCTTTAGTAAATACTTACAGGATGTCTTAAGTCTCCTTTATTGTCTTTACTATGAATAAATAACAAGTTTCTCCAATCCTTTGCTCTTCTTTGCAGAGATCTCTTGATGGTCTAAAATTTACTCCCCTGCAGCATCTACCCATTTACCAAGTCAAAGTCTGCGAAGACAAAAATTAAATATATTTTCTTACATCTGCTTCTACCAATTTTTAGGAAAAGAAAATTAGGTCCCCTTCTATATTAATGTATTTCCTCCATTAACTACCATTTGATACACACACACACACACACACACACACACACACACACACACACTAGTAGTTAATAAACCTTTAATATAGATAAAAGTTAAAATTATGTAAAAGATGAATAGTTTCACAAAATAGCTTAATATACTGTCAGAGAATGGTGGGGCCTGCTACTGACAGAAATTTGTTTCCAAAAGAAAGAGTTCAAATTTTCATTTTACTTTTATGACCTCCAACTACTACATAAAGATTTTGTTTCACCCAGTGAAAAGTCATCATTTGTCTTACCATTTCAATACTGAAATGAGTTTATGAATTGTTTTAACTTCTGAAGTAAGTAAATATTTAAAATGCATTTGAAAGCTAAATATTTTGAGCTTTAGCTAGTGTCTGCTTAGCCAGTTGTGTTGACTGGCATGTGAAATCTCTTTCAGGAAAACCATGAAACTTTCAATGCATAGGAAGAACAGTGGTGGAAATAAAGAGAACATAAACACATTTATTAAATTAAAGAGAAAAACATAAATGTAATTTATTTGCACCAGAATCCTTTTATTATAATGTGTTAGATTAACAATTTCATCAAATATATAGGGAATATCTTTGATATATTCTTATCAATTATTTATTTAGTAATTTATTGAAGCAAGTAAATTCACTCAACAAAAAAAAACTCCCATATCTGATGTTTAGATGACTTAGAATTTTAAAATAGTGCATCCTTACAGGAAAGTGTGTGGAGGAAGATGATGGCCACATATACATATGTCATCATGTGTGTGTGTGTGTGTGTGTGTAAATGCAAGCAATATTGGCAATTTGATGTATAAATATATGTTAATTTTACTCAATTCCTCTAAAATCCCTCTTCTATTTCTTTTAATTTAACATATAGTCGTTTTTGAAAGTCTTCTGTCAAACGAAAATGTATTTAGACATTTGTTCTTTTTCTCCTTTGTGCTTCTAAACTGCTGGCACTTGCTATGCCTTTGGTGTATCAGGGAGCCTCCATCATTTCCTGCTGACATGCTAAGGGTTATTTCTAGACACTAGGCTCCAACAGGGAGATAGATACATGCTATTTCCAGATGTAAATCCTCTATGACCTACACACTTTCAAACTATCTCAGGATTTATAACAACTTTGCAAGAAGAATCAATAACTTTAATGTCTAATCATAAATGCTTTGTTTTGATGAAGAAAATCCCACTTATTGTATGTTCCCAAAGAATAACATTGGATAAGCTGTTTACTCCAAGGTCTATGAAGGAGTCATTCTAAACATTAAAGTCAGAAACAAATTCATTGATTCCAAAGTTGGCCCAAGGCACCTCCTAAAAACTGTCATAAATTCCATTTGTGTTTATTTTTATAGCTCATCTCTGCAGAATTTTTCTAAAAGACAAAATGAAATGTGATTAACGGGCAATCCAGTTATCACCTCCTACACTGGAGGGACGGAAGTCTTTAACCTTGGGAGTTGAGCTCAAGCCCTTGAGTTTTCTTGGTCTGCCCTCCAGACCTCAGCAAGGTCAACCCTTTAAAGATGTATGGGAGACTATTAATCTTGGCTGCTGTTAAGACTCTTGCAGTACATACAGAGTTTTTCTTTCATCCACAGTATTTTCCTGTATTAGAAACTTCTTTTATAATACCTTATTTTATTATCACAAATATTAATTTTCAATATGTGTTAACCCAATAGTTAATATATATTTTAAAAATGAGGCTGCAGTCATTGCTGTAGTCTCGAACATGACTCATTTCAGCATTTCAAAACATGCCCGATCCCTCAAACAGAAAGCCTATTGATTTAGAATGTTCTCTTCAGGAGAGGGAGAGGAATACTATTTCTTACATGAAATCCCAACACATGGGAATTCTGTATTACTTTAGGTTATTATGCCTCCAGAAGAGATGATATGGGCTCCCACAAAAATGATTATTTATAGAACTTAAGACCTATGAATTTATACCAAATAGAAGAGGAACAATGTGAAGAAACTGGTTTTAACAGATATGTGAAGTTATTAAAAAATAAAAAAATAAAGCATTTTGCTAAGCAAATGTAAGGAAATACTGAACACTCTATGTAATAAAGTAGTGCAGAGTTGGAGATAGGTACTGTGTGTGTGTGTGTGTGTGTGTGTGTGTGTGTGTGTGTGTGTGTGTGTGTGTGTTAATAATTTAATCAGAATTGTGTGTGTGTAAGTGAACAAAAAACTGAAGATGATACATTCTGGTAAACACAATGGAAGAAATGGGCTTTTCTTTTAAAACAAATGTCATTGCTTAGGCTTGAGAAAATATTCCTACCTATTAAACGGGATTATCTAAGCAAGTGAAATATAGATTAACCAAAAACAATGTGAACAAATATTTACTTGGTTCACAGTAAACTACATTCTAAAGTTTAGAATCTAAAACATAAAGTACCTGATTTCTGTAATAAAAAAACACACAAGAAATGTAATCAAATTTTAAAAGAATATTATTTGATGTATATAACATTATATGAATCATTAGGAATATACTTGTGAAAACAGCATTGCAGAAAAGTTTAGACTAAGATTGTAAAAAGCAAATATATAATTGTAATAAACATAAGAGAACTAATAGACAAGCATAATAAAATAGTAAAATGAGCAATGGTTGAAATAACAGTAAGAGGCATGTTACATTTTTTTTTTCATTTAAAACACCTTTACTATATTATAGAAAACACCATGATGAGATACTTGCATAAATACTGCTTGTGGAAATTCAAGATACCTCTACTAAAACATTCCCAGTTTAAAAGAAGATTATAAACATGTTTATTTTATAAGAGATAGACTCTTACTCTATAATTCTCCTCTTGGCCTCCACTTAAAGGTATTCAATGGTACTTTTTTTGGTTGTTTTGAGGATGGCTTGTTTACAGAACTGTAAATGTACTGAGGTTCCTATTATGCTATGCAGGAACTCTACTGCTGAACTCCATTCAAGCCCTTTTTGTCGTCTTACTTTTGTTGTAATAAATTCACCATGCTTGCCTTCAATGCAATCTGCAGTACAGACAGGACTTTAATTTTCATCATTTTGCTTTGACCTCCCAAGGAGCTAGGATTGCAGTTTTGGAGCACCAGAAGTGGCACAGGTATTTCTGTTTCTTGGATGTTATGGACAGTGTTGTGATGATATGGGAGAAAAGATGTCCTTTCGAAATATCAGTTACAATTTTCAATATATGTCCAGTAGTAGAATTTTCTGATCACAAGGTAAAATTGTATTTTTTGCAGGGACCCCTATTCTATTTTCCATAATGTCTTTTAATTTACACAAGTGATAATAGCACACAGTTTCCCTTTCTCCATGTCCACATCCTTGCCAGAACTTGTTATCTTTTCCACAAACACTGCTCTTTCATAGGTTCAAATGACAATCTTTTTTAACTCCATTTGAAAGCCAAAGGAAAACAAAATTCTGCAAAGTAAATGTGTGTTTAAAGTTTTGGTAATCTAATTCATCAGTACATTCAAATGTTGGCTTTACAGAGTGATTTCCCCCTTGACTGTAAGGGATGAGCTTTCAAAAGTGGGTGGATAATTCCCATTCCCTATGTTTGGGGAAGAATGCAAGTCCCAATTTTATTAGTTGCGTTATTTGGCTTGTCTACTACAACTATAAATATTTCTGACTACCAAGGTTGGTCATCACCCAAAACATTTTCAATTAGAATATTGACTTTTCTGAAGGTATTTTACATTAATAAAATCACATTTGAATTCATTCTTTTTTTCTTTCCTGTAGTCTCTTGTTGGTGATTATATGATCTTCGACAATAGAAACAAGCAGCATTGAAATTCTTTGTCGAATTTACACTAGACAAGGACTTATCTTTTAATTTCATTCCTTTTTTTCTTGAGGATTCAATATGTTCTATACAAGTTATTTCAAACTAGGTCTATAAATTTTTATAAGTACTTTATTTTAACATTTGTATTTCTGTTAAAGTTTAATTCTCCACTCATGTGGATATACTCAGTGACCTCATTTATTAGGTATAAATAGAATATTCAAAAGCAAGTTAACTTCACTTTTGGCATTTCCACTCCTTCAAAAGCAATATAGTCTCCTAATAAAATAATGTTTTAAAGCTCTTAAATATAGTGAAATTAGAAATTAAGAACATAACATGAATAAAAAGAGATAGAGACAAATAAGACAATGAAAACTCCTCTATATTAAAATCTAAATTTTTAGGAGGTATGCATGTTCAGTGTGACTTAAAGGTTACACAACCTTAATACCAATCAAGAGATCATGTTACCTAATTAATACATATATATTTTTTCATATTTGTATGTATCAGCTGAACATGGGTAACATATAGATAATAATTTTAGTCATTCAGTTATGACACACATCCATATTAAACATTTTAGATGAACAGATAATTTTCTTTGAAAACAGAAAATTAGAAAAATTGTGTTCTTTGTTGTTTTTGTAGTGCTTATATAAAGTAAAGAAAATTGTTCAAATACAAATTATACTCAACATTACACTATATCATTTACAGTAATCAGCTGCAAAGCACAAATAAAGGCTGATGGTGGAAATGTTTTTTTTTTCTAGTATTGATAGCTTTTATATTGATCATCTATGTTACTGTCCATCCACCAGTCTTTTGCCTTTATCTAAGGAAAATGAAAGCATATACCTTCACAAAGCTAATCACTATTAATTTTTAAAATTCTTTTATTAATTTATTTTTTACATTCCAATCACAGTTCTCTCTCCTCTCCTCCCGCTCCCCTCACTCCCCTACCTCCATCTGCTCCTTGTACAGGTTAAGGCCTCCCATAGGAAGTCTACTAACTCTGTCCTATCATCTTGTTGAGGCAGGGCCAAGGCACCTCTCCACCATCCCACCCCCCTGTGTCTGGGCTGAGCACTGTATTTCTCCATACAGAATGGGCTCCACTAAGTCCCTTTATGCGTTATATATACTATAAATTTACAACATCTATCTTGGGCATCCAAATAGAAAAGCAATGCAAATTTCCATAAACAGTGAATAAATTTAGAATATTATAAAAGAAGCATTTAGTTGGTAACCAAACACTTGTAGATAATTGCTGAAATCATTAATTTCATGAATAAGCCTGTCAAACAAGGGAGGCATATCTCAATTCATTTGGATAAGAATACACCTGCATAAAAGAAATTTCTATGAGAAGATTGTCAAGTGGTAAAGAACAGATAGAAAGTGTAGGGATGAATAGTTTGGCCAACCAACATTTTGCTAGTGTTTAAAAACATATACACAGCCATAAAAACACATAGAACTTTCTGCTCTAAATGAATCTGTATACATTGTTCATAGATGATTTTTTCAGTGGACTTGATACAATTGAAGATTTGAAAAAAAAATGCCTGCCTCCTTATTCAGTGGTTCTTTAGATGAATTTTAACACATGAACATGTTCAAATTCAATCCTGCTATCAAGATGCTTTGGGCATTTATAGTTATTTTCTGGGTTATTCATACTGCAGACAAGTGTGTTGTTTATTGCACATTGTAAATTCATTTTAGTTTTCTCTAGATTCAACTATGAACTTGGTAAAATGTCAATAAGAAACTTCATGCTTGTTTTCACAAGTTTAGTATACATCTTCCCATAGATGTACTCATTTTTTGTTTTTTTGAGACAGGATTTCTCTGTGGCTTTTGGAGGCTGCCTTGGAACTAGCTCTTGTAGACCAGGCTGGTCTCAAACTCACAGAGATCCACCTGCCTCTGCCTCCCGAGTGCTAGGAGTAAAGGCATGCGCCACCAATGCCCGGCTATAAATGTATTCCTATACAATATAATATCAAATGTAAGAACAGTATCATATAATATCAAATGTATGTGGAACATAATGAACATCATAAAACTGAGAGTGAAATCCAAGGGTAATCTTTACACAAATGCTGGATATGTGGGTTGATATGCTAAAACATAATATATGAAATATTTATTTAAATATAAAGAATTAGCACATACAGAAATAGCATGTAACATATTGGAAAAAGCAATAAATAGCATTTTTGAATAAAGATATCACTGATGAAAATTTTAGATGAACTGGATTAAATATTGATCATAGAGCACTCAAGAGTTCAAAATCACAAAGTAAATTTGAAAGTTTTGTGGCTTCTGCTTGAATAAAAGAAAACTTTGGTTTGGAATCTACATGGAGTTATAAAAATATTCTAAATAAAATGAAAAATGCTCAGTGTGTACTTAAGACATTTATAATATCTATTCTGCATTAAGTTTTACAATTGTCATAGGATTAGAATGACGAGATAGGACCTCCTGAAAAAAATGTTCTTAACTGAATTTAAATAGGAAATCAACTACAGGATCTGAGATGGTTAATTTTTTTAAGGCAGCATATTTTGAAAAATGATAATGAAATAATTAATGGTGCCTTTAGATATAATCTACGAAATAAAAAAAATGATGCTGTAAGAGTTGGATATTGAACAGTTTGTTTGTGTATGCCGAACATAATTACTATTTTCCATAAATTGGAACCCTAAATGCTATCCTTCTCTTCTCTTCCCCTCATTGTTTGAGTTAATATGAACTAATTAAATGAAGACTTTACATTAAATCTCACCTCCAGTTTTAGATAATTTTGCTATCCAGGAGATGGCACTGTAGTACTTTGTTTTATAGTCCAGATGCCAAATCTGTAAGCCACAGGTTATTTTCACAATGGTTGATATTCTGAGCAAATCAACAATCTGTGGGTTCAACATATAATCTACTATGATTGGTCTGACACATTGGAAATATTGTTGTTTTTGGTTTCCCTTCAATGTATGACAAGTTGTACATAACTATTGCATGCTTTTAATAGTCTTTTATTTTATTAATGTATTTTACAAATCACGGAACCTTCCCAACAAGAACATCCAATATTTATGTTCCATATGTCTGAGGCTGCAACATTTAACAAAGAAACTGAAGCCATGCCAATGAATATCAAGTTTGAGTTGATAAACATTTGGGATTTTATTGATGGTGCCTAGGATTCTTTCCAATATTCTGTAAATTTCAGCAGCTATACTGGATAGATACATTCCTATATGAAGAAATTCAGGCTTTCACATGAACACTATATAAAACGAACTCTTACAGTAATCTAATTTCACCATAATTTTGTGTTATTCGGGTTTTATATTTTTCCTTATAACATTACCATGTTTTTTTAATTTTACATTCAGGGTAATGCTTTACTTTTTTGTGAATTTTGCATACATTCTTCTCTCATAAAATACATCCCAACCACAGAGTCTATCCCTCCAACTCCTACTCCTCACCCCCTACCCCCCTGTACCTCATCTCCTCCCCAGATCCTCTCACCAGACTTTTCCCTTTGGAAAACAGCAGGGCTCCAAAAGACAACAATGAAACAGGACAAAAAAAGATAAAATAAGTAAAGGCAAAAGCCCTACTATAGAGGCTGAATAAGGCAACTCAACAGGAGAAAAGAGTCCTAAGAACAGGGAAGAGTCAGAGACACACCTGTACCCACAAAAGCACCAAGATAACAGCCATAACATATACACAGAGGACATGGTGTAGACCCATGTAGGCCATTTGCTTGCTGCATCAGGCTCAATGAGGCCATGCCTAGTTGATTCAGTGATCACGTGCTCTACTGGTGTCCTCCATCCCCTCTGATTCCTACAGTCTTTCTCCTGCCTCTCCTGGGTTACTGGAGCTCCAAGGGGGAGACCCTATGGAGACCTCATATTTAAACTCTCTTAAGCATTATGTCTAGCTGTGAGCCTCTTGCACCTGCTTCCATCTGAAGCCAGAGGCAGCGTGTGTGATGATGACTAGGCAAGTAACCGACCTGAGTATAACAGAATATTATTAGGAATCATTTCTTTGGTTTTTGTTTTTGCTTTTTGGCAAGGTATGTTTTGTTCTACCCTAGGTCTCTGTTCTATCCAGTCTCTGATTCCTGGCTATCCAGGCAGTACAAGGCACAGGCTCCCTCTCCTGGAGTGCACTTCAAGTTAAACCAGACATTGGTGGGCTACTCCCATAAACTCTGCTCCATCATTTCCACAGCACAACTTGCATCAGAATAGATTGAAGGTTTAGAGTTTTGTGGCTGGGTTGGTGTACAGGTTTCTCTTTCCATAGCCTCAGGGTACCTTCCAGAGACAAAGAAACTAGAAATTAGTGGTAAAGGATCCATGCAGGCACCAGCATGACTTTGCTAAGTTCAATGATCTGTGTGAATGTTGTCCTTGCAATGGGCCCCTGCTTTCAGCTATAGCAGAGTGATCCTCTATTCTAGCATCAACCTGTGTTATTAATGGATGGCTATAGGACCCTAAACATCTGTTAGCAATTCATCGGAATGCAACCCAGACACAATAACGGAAAATTTGACAGGTAATAGAAATGGCCAGTGAAGATTCTGTGTCCTCCATTGCTAGGAGTCCTCAGTAGGGTCACCCTCATAGATACTAGGTTTCCACACCACTTCCCAAGTACACACAATTCCAGATATCTCTACCTGCACTCTTATCCTCTGTCCCCTGGCATAATCACTTCAGATCTCATCCCCACTTACCCCCAGTCCATCAGTTACTCTCTGTTCATACATGAAGAAAGGTACATATTTTCTTGCCAAATCTTCCTGAGAGAAATTATTTGCATCTTTATTATTAGAGGCCAATGATCTATCTATATCTATATCTATATCTATATCTATATCTATATCTATATCTCTATCTATCTATCTATCTATCTATCTATCTATATATATATATCAATTAATTATAAACTTATATTAGGTATTATACCAGGGACTATTAGTATATCAACAAAAAATAAGATCTTTCATTTGTGAGGCATTTAGTTTCATGTGAGTTAAGGTTGTAATTTCAAATTACTAATTTTATTAGTGAAGTACAAATACTGAAGTGACTGTTGTGTCTTATAAAAGCTATAAAGATATCTACTAAGGCTTTTGGGTATATCTAAAACATCAATTTAGGTCATTTTGTTCATCAGGAGAAAAATAATGGAAATATACCAAGATTATTCTAGTTTGCCTAACAAACAAGGGTCTACTAAATCTTATTCCTGGCATGTAATTTCCAGCTGATTCTGTATTTGTCCTTCACATAATCCCTGCCCATAGTTCAACAGATTACCAGGCCACAGCTTTGAAGCTTCCTAAATTTGCCTGCTTTTCAGAATATTTCAGAAAAATGTAACATCTTGTTTTGCTTTCTATCTCTGTTCTGAAAATGCTGTCCTGAATTATTGGTTCATACCTTCCAGCTGCTTTTCTGCCTGGGTCCATCCCCTGATCCACCATATTGACATATCTTTCATTCTTTCCTTCCTCCATTCTTGCTCTGGGATATTTTTTGTTTATTCAACAAAGGTATTTATAACACTATGATTAATGCCAGGAAAGCTATCGTAGAAAAATAGATTGAATATAAACAGCTGGTCATTGTAAGCACAGACCCTGATAATCTTGGGAACTAAAGAAGATGCCTGGAACAAAAATTGTAAGAAGTCATGCCCCAGATGGATATGCTTATCAGCTGAACTTTCTTAGAAATAAAGAATGAAATTTAAGATATATCTTGAAAATAGCACATGAAATTAGTCATGTAATAAGCATGATCTACATATGCTGAATGTACAAATCTTATTCTATAGTAAGATGGTAAAATATAAGATGCATGTTAGTATCTGGAATGATATTTTAATATGTGAAATGAATTCACACTCATTAAAATATACTGTGAACTTTAGATACCACTATAGTGATTATTAAAGGTAGAATCTGAGAAATCATTTTAATTTGTCAAACAAAATGGCCAATTAATGCCTGGTAGTAAAGAAAAGATGAAATATGAGTAAATATATGATAAAAATTAAGCTATCAATATATGCCAGGTATATGTCTGAAATCAAAATTGTTTTTAAATGTGTAATACATAAACATAACAATTGAAGACAGACTTCCAGAGTTGTTGAAATAACTATGCCAACCACATATTGCATACAAGAAACTCACAGTACATAATGTTGCTGTCTCCCACTTACTGGTATGGTTCCTTTAAATATGAATGATCATTAGGATAATATACTAGTTTTGGGAAATTCATTTGTAAGCCCAATTTAGTATCAATTTTTGAGCCAAAGAGTAAGTAGGCTTAAGGTTATGGAAAAACCAATGCCTTGTTTTTGGTTCTTTCTATTGATAAATCAAACACATGCTTTAAAGAGATAAAATAAAATACCAACTCAAGTACAAGTTATGTATCAATTATGTATTTTCTCAACAACTTATGAGAGAATACCTAAGACTTGATTACCTTAAAAAATCAATACATATCCATACAAATATATATATATATATATATCGATGGATAATTTATATGAGCCATATATTTTCTTACTTTACTTACCAAACTTATATTATAATGAGTCTATACAATCACCATAAACAGGCAAGGAAATCTGAGCACTTTTTGTCTGTTACAAAATCATTCACAACACATCATACGCATTACCACAAAATGTCTGTGATAATTAAGAAGTTGTAAATTAAAGTTTAATTCCAAATTATTCAAATTACTTTTAAACTAAACAGTAACAATAGATACTAGTAATACTTGTATGTATATGTACCATTGAGATGTTTCCATATACTTGGGTTACAGGAATAATTTAAAATATGTGACTGGCTATTTGTCATAACTTACAGATTTCATGTGCATTTCGCTACTGCAAAGCATTGGCAAGCTTATGTATTATTTGTTATAAAATATTTGCCTTGTTACTCATATACATGCACATAACATCATGGATAATATTAAAATTTGTACAATATGTATTTTAAAATTTATTCCATATGCATACTCTTAACATATTAAAAAGGAATATATCAAAATAAGTAAATTATAAAAAGAATATTAAATTTAAAAAAAAAACTTTAAAATGTACAAAAAAGAGCTGACTTTTAGAATCCAGGTACTGGAATATTGTGGAGTCTACACCTACTTGGGCAGATTTGGACATGTTTATTTCATGGTAAACCAGAGGAAAAAACAGTCTATAATCTCACTTACCTGTGGAATATGAAAAGTTGAACATTTAGTAACAAAGAATAACAAGGTTTGGAGGGTCTGGGTGTGAGTAACATGTAAACATATTGTTTAAAGCCTAAAATTATGGATAAAAGAAGTAGGCTCAAGAGGAAAAAATGAAAATTTCTACAATGAAATGTCTGCCACATCTTATAATGTAAATTTCACTTTTATTCATATATGGAAATGAGCAGATGAGTGAAATACTATCCCTGAATTGCTGCTTTGTTATATAATTCTCCAAAGGTTTGCCCAGCCCTGGAAACACCAGACAAGGATAAACAGTAGGCAATTATAAATGAAAATATGAATAACAAACACTATTGCAAATTCTGTTATTAAAAAATAAAGTCAAGTTTAGAACTGGTTAAGTTTGTTGTTGTTTTGTTTTTTGTTGTTTTTTTTTAGACAGGGTTTCTCTGTATTGCTTTGGAGCCTGTCCTGGAACTCACTCTGTAGACCAGGCTGGCCTCTAACTCATAGAGATCCACCTGCCTCTGCCTCCCGAGTGCTGGGATTGAAGGTGTGTGCCACCAACGCCCAGCAGAATTGGTTAATTTTAAAATGTCACAAAAAGCTATAGGGATAGGTTCTAGTCTGATCAGGTCAAAGGAACAGTAGTTTTGAACACAAGGATCCAATAATTAGAAGGTGCACATGTGAACAACACATTGGATAGCAAACACATGGATGCCATGCACTCAGGTGAGCTAAGCACAGAATAGTATCTGAAGGAGTCAATCTATGGCGGTTCTTTGTCAGAAGTTATTTATTCAGAGTTTTGCATTTTAGTTAGGCATATGGGTTGTTTATAATATGGTTTTACTCTGTTTTATTCTTTATTATGGGACTTTTAGAGCAATAACCGAATGAGAATAGGAAATATAAATAGCAAGCACAATGAACTCCTAAAATACTGAGCTCTCTCTTTTTTTCTATCACACACACACACACACACACACACACACACACACACACACACACAATGTCAATACTTTACATTTATTTATCACATTGTTACAACTTACAGGTAAATAACTGATGAATTATTATTACCTTTGAAGTCCATAATTTATATTAAGATTCATTTTTGACATTGTACATTCATTTATATTTTTTTTGGTTTTTGTTTGTCTGTATTAATGAATTTTTCTAATAAAATATCATTCTTTTCTCATATAATTTTAGATATTATTCATCATTAATATTATCTGTGTCTTGTGGACATTCATTGCCCTTGGTTAGAAAATTTATTATTATTTTTTTCTTTTTATGTATACTGTAGTTTAAACTTCAATAAAATTCATTATAGAAGAGGATCAGAACAGCTTTTAGTCTAGAGTTAAAATTGCTAAGGAAACTCACTTGTAACTCTACAAGTGCCATTACTTTAGAACATATTTCTGCTCTGCCAATGGGTAGTGCCCTCTTTTTGTTCCAGTTGAACTTCATCTAAAAGTCCTTTGCTGCCTCTCTGAATTTGGTCTCATGAATACATAATTGATTATTCAGATGAAATTTGCAGTTTTCTTTCCTAACTGTAAATGAATGAGACCCATTCTTCACACAGTTTATCTGGGATTCTACTCCTCTGATCTCTGTTTCAGTTTACCAAGAAAAGCAAGCAAGCAAGCAAACAAACAAAAAACTTCATTCTCTTGTAATTTTCCTTTCCTGCTCCACACTCTAGACACTGTGAAAAGTGACATTTAATGGACTCATGATTTAAAAGTTCACAGAAAAATTTTGCCTATCTGGCATGGCTGACTACACACATTTCCTATATTGATGGCATTTTCTAATTTTTTTGACAGGATGAAAATTTTATTGCAGTAGATTATTAATGAGTTAAAGGAAGTTTAATGATACTTTTAATTTTTATGATAAGAATTTATCTTCATTTCTTTACTGTTGCTATGATATAATTTCTCAACAAAAAATTTAAAGAAGAAAGATTTGTGTGTGTGTGTGTGTGTGTGTGTGTGTGTGTGTGTGTGTGTGTGTGTGCACAGTTCACAGTATAGTTCACCATGGTGGCAAAGAAAAGGCTGCAAAAGCTTGAAGCAACTGGCTTCATGCATCCACATTCAAGTAATTGAGCAATAAGTTCACATTGCTGCACAGCTCCTTGCTTCATCTATATAGACTAAGATCCAGCCAAGAAAAGATGCCACTTACAGCGGCCACATTTTACCACCTCAAGGAACATAATTCAGATAATTACCCACAGCCATGATAGAGGTCCATCTCCCAGAGGACCCTAACTTCTTGATAAGCAGTACAATTAACAATACTTAATAAGCTTTTTTTATAGTATGAGAATACATTATATTTTAATACAGAATACTTCTTTATATTACACTATGAATTTCAGCATTCCACTGTAGGGGACACTGTAACCATGCCTGCTAGGGGCTGGCTACAGGTGTAGGCACGCTCTCAAAGGTATGGTCAAGGTGATGCAGGGAGTGAGTGAGGAGCAAGCAAGTGGGCTTTCCTTCTTGCGTTTCATCTATGGCTTGCTGTACTTACTCCTGCCCTACTGGCTGGCTCGGTTTCTCTGTAGGTAAGGCTTTTCCCTAATAAATACCCTTGTATTTTTACCTGACTCCGTATTGGTAAATTCCCACATTCCGCTAAGAATATTATGTTTCTTCTTATAAGAAAATAGACTAATTATTACCTCAAAAGACAGAATGAAGAAACTTGGGAATGAAGTTGAGGTGAACATAAGTATTAAATATTGAATATGTACTAACATTTTAAGTTACTGTAGAGAGACAGAAACAATGGAATGACAATATTCTATTGAAAGCATTTGTCTTCCACTATCTAGACTGAGTAGTCCAATAATTGTAGCCTTGCCCCAGCCTCCACATCCAACAGGCATTTTTTGGGGAATACTTGCCACATACATGTATCAGGATAGCAAGTGAGCTAACTACAGATCTTCCCCTCTCCTCCAAATCCAATCTCCTAGTTTCCCCCTAATCTCTGTAACAGAAAATAACTTACTCTGCCCTTCCCTTTGTGTTATTCAGATCTCCTGCATCAACATTCCTTTCCCCAATTCATTCATTTGTCTCCACCTTCATCTCTAGCAGCCATTGTCAAGTCATGAAAATGTCCAGGTCCCTCTCCTGAGGACTTCCAACTACAGGGTTCCACCCACAGAACACTCTTTTAACTGCCCTAATGGCTGATCTCAGCCCCGACTCTACAGAGTAAAATGCCCAAGCTCTGGCCTTGAAAACCCAACAGTCTCTACACTGGAGCTCTCCACCCCAGAAAGCTCGCTTCCCCACCCCCACCCCCATAAGCAATCCTATATAAACCCTGTCTTCTGCTCAATTCTCTGCTACTTTTCACTTGAGCAGAAGCAGTCACTCTCCTGGGATTTTCCCTCCCAATAAACCTTTTGCATGAGGTTTGTTGTAAGGCTCTATGTTGTAGTATTTCTTGGCTCCATACTACCAGGCTGTCTTTCCATTTAAGCTGTAAGACTTATATTGGCATAGTGACTCTAGGCTCTCCTGGTATCTGTGTTTTCCCTTGGAGTCTAAGTTGCACTGGCACCCTAGTCTGTATCTCAACTTCACCCACAATAAACTCACCTTCAGGTTCACCAATCACACAGTACCTCATCCACATGTGGCAATTAATTAAATTTCCCTTTGGTGGGTAAATGTTTCCCTGAGTCCAAGGAAGTGACTGTTGTGTGTCTGACACCGATCTGGTGCTCTTGGGTGTGGTGGTACCCCCAGCCATCGTCTTTACAGCTAGGAGTTGCTCTCTACACCTGACCCTATCACACCACCCTTAAAACTACAATTCTGCAGTTTCCTTAGGCCCAAATGGGCTATTGTGACCCTCCCTGCCGTCTTTTCTTGCCATCCCCTTGAAGCTGCCCATAATCCCACATTTCCTCTGCTCCCTCATGGCTTTTGTGACTCCACTCCCAATCCTTTCTTCTGGATGAGACACCCTCTCTTAGAGCTTGACTTTCTGTTTTCAACTTCTGTGAAAGCCCTGGTATCAGGCACCAATTTCCTCCTTTGGCTTAGCAAGGCTAAGCCTCTGACTCCCGTTGAGTGTGGTGACTGTGCAGCTCGGTCCTTATTCATTCCTCTCTGGGTCCTGGGGAAACCCATGACTACCAACCACAGTGCCATTTACCTTTCCCTATGTCATCCATGGGAATTGTGTCTTCAATACCTCTCATTCCTCCTTAGGATGCCTCCTAGAAAAACCCCAGCCTCTAAAACTTA